TCTAGCAAGAGCAACCAAAACTTTAACTGTGTCCAGCACAGATGCAGGAGGCCTCAGGTTACATTTGTCCACAGCAGTTACACAGTCTTTCCACCACCAGAGTCTCCCTCTCACCAGGGTATTGCTGCCACAAAGCTTGCACACCCTCAGTCTTCCTCACCTGAAGAGTTGTTGCTCAGAGTGGGTAGCACTCTTTCTCTTATCCTACTCCCACAGCTGATGCTGTTTTGCAAAACCATGTGTCTGCAGTCAAGGTAGCTGGAGACCTAACTGCAATGGCTGAGTAAGGAGCTGCACTGCCACCAGCAACTCCATGATCATTAATATCACATGCAAGCAGAATACAGCTGAAGATCATTCAAAAACGGCTAGAACAGTACTTAGATAGGAAACTGACAGAAATTAATGCAGGATTTAAAAGAGGCCATGGCACCAGGGATATCATTGCTGGTGTCCAATGGATTCTGGCTGAGAGTACCAGAAGACTGTCTATTTATACTTTATTGACTGTATTATACAAAGGCACTTAACTGTATGGATCATAACAAGTTATGGCTAACATTGAGAAGAATGGGAATTCCAGAGCACTTAATTGCGCTCATGTGAAGATTAATACCTACTAGATCAGGAGGTTATTGTGCAAACAGATCAAGGGAACACTTATTGCTGTTATGTGCCATAGATTCACTTGGGACTCATAGCGACCCTATGTACAATAACCCTGAAACCCACTCTATCCTGTGCCAACCTTATTCTCTCTGACACACCTATCCTCATTACCCCAGTCACTGAATCTCATCTAGGGTCTTCCTCTCTTGCTCTGTCCCTCCACCTTTCCAAGCATGATGTCCCTCTCCAAGACTGGTCCCTCCTTTCAACATGTCCAAAGTATATCAGATGAAGCCTCAGAATCCTTGCTTCCAAGAAGCAGCCTGGTTTCATCCTCTCAAGGAAGAACCTGTTTTTTCTCCTAGTAGTCCACAGTACATTCAATACTCTTCTCCAGCACCACAGCTCAAAGACATCAATTATCTATCATGCCTAGTCATTGTCCAGCTTTCTGACACATAGCAAGTAATTGTGAAGACTGTGACCTGGATCAGGCACACCTTAGTCTCCAGACTTATGTCATTGCTCTTCAGTACCCTAAAGGGGTCACTGACAGCAAAGTTTCCCAATGCAATTTGTCATTTGATTGCCTGGCTACTGGAACCAAGAGTGTTGATTGTGGAGCCAAGCAAACTAAATCTGTTACCAGTCTCAATATCTTTACTGTCTATCATAGTGCAGCCAGTCAGCCCAGTGGTTAGAATATTTGTTTTCTTGATGTTGAGCTTCAATCCATATTAAAGGCTGCAGTCCTTGACCTTCTGCAGCAAGCACTTCAGGTCCTTCTCAGTTTCAGCAAGCAGGGTTGTGTTTTCTCTACATACCTATTCCATCTGTATGCTGAGCAAATTATTCAAGAAGCTGGACTCTATGAAGAGGAGTAGTAAGTCATCAGGATTGGAGGGAGACTCATCAATAACTTGCATTATGCAGATGATAGAACCTTGCTCGCTGAAAGTGAGGAGGACTTGAAGCACTTATTGCAGAAGATGGAAGAATACAATCTTCAATATGGATTACATCTCAATGTCAAGAAAATAAAGATTCTTACCACTGGACCAACAGGCAGCCTCATGATAGATAAAAGTTTTAAAATGCTAACAACTTCATCTTACTTGTATCCATAATCAACACCTTCGGCAATCAGGAAATCAGGAGACGAATTGCACTGGGAAAGTCTACAGTTAGGGACCTTTCCAAATTATTGAGGGGTAATAATAACAGTTTGAGGATTAAGGTGCGTCTTATTCTCCATGATGGTTTTTTATCACTTGCTCTGCATCTGAGAACTCAACAATGAATAGGGATGACAGAAGAATTGATGCCTTTGAGTTATGGTGTTGGAGAAGAGCACTGAAAGGAACAAATAGGTATTTGAGAGAGTGCAGCCGGAGTGCTCTTTGGAGATAAAGATGATGAAGCTTCACCCTTCATTTAGTGAAGGGGAGAGGATTACCTTCAACCAGGTGGATTGACGTGATGACTGCTGCAGTGGGCTTTAAAGTGTCAGGAAGTATGAGGATGGTACTGGATAAGAACAGGATTCAGATTTATTGTTCACAGGGTGGCAATAAGCCATACTCAACTTGATGGCACCTCACAGTAACAACTCAATGAGAGAAAGATGAACAGTCTCCTCTAATGTGGTTTATAACCTCTGAAAACCCACTAGAGGGTCAGCTCTTAGTTGGTATCAAATCGATGGTAGTGAACAGCAACGTACAGTCATCATCACAATACAGTTTTATAACATTTTCTACCACCCCAGTAAGTTTTTTCAGAGCTAGATCTAGTCAGTACCCGCTCCCACCCCAGTTCCAGGTTATCAGTGCTTTGTAAAAATACTTTTTATAGTTATTTTGTATAACTGGCTCATATATATGTGTGTGTGTGTGTGTGTGTGTGTGTGTGTGTGTGTGCTTTTATGACTGAATGGTTTAGTGTAATTTTTTAGATCGTCTACATTTTAACATGTATGTTTTGTTCCTTTTTATTAACTGAATAGTATGGATGCATGTACTTTTATTTGTCCTGGACATTTGGATCTTTTCTACATTTGACCTGTTCTGAATATTGCTGATATTTTGTGGATGTTTGTTTCCATTTCTTTGTGTGGATGTCTGTTTTCATTTCTCTTGAGTGGGAAGGAGTAGGATTTCTGGGTCAACTGCTAAGTTTATGATCTGTTTTTTTTAGAATCTGTCATTAAAACTATACTTGCAGATGTCAAGGTCTTATTAAGAATTTATGATTATAGGTATGGGTTCTTGGTTCCTAAGAGGTAGCCTCCAAAACCGTAGAATTTTCCAAGCATATTTTTCATGAAGTGGCTCCAGACCACACTTCTTTGACAAATTATGCTAAAAAGAATTAAATCTTGGGATAATGGTGGTGTTTAGTACCAAGGAGTCGGAGCAACTCATAGTTGATCCTCTATTGAGTTTTCAGAAACAGTAAGTCACGTGAGAGTTGATTGCCTCTCTTTATCCTTCAGACCAGCTAGTGGATTTGAACCATGTACCTTTGAGTTGGCAGCACAAATACCTACCAGTAAACAACCATAGCTCCGTAAAGGCCTGTACTGGCCACAACAAGATATAAGTGCTGTCTCATCTGAGCAGAAAGAACTAGAGATTGGTTTCAGCCACATGGACAATTATTTATTTAGTTATGCTGATGTAATGAGACCTAGGGCAAAGCTCTGGACACTGAATCTCTGACAGCTTTCTATCTGGTAAAAAGCACTGATGCCTCAAAGGGTGGCCCAGCCCTTTTTGAGATATGTAAACTCCATGTATTGGGGACCTTCCTTCACTTTGCACTATATCAAGTATTGAACCCAGGTAATAGTGGGAGCCAGCAAATCAGAAATTAGGGTGTATTGGAAAACCTGGAGGACTGTGCTCTTCAACTTGTATATGAAAAATCCCAAGGAATCCACTAAAGGAACTATTGGAAATAGCAATTGAATTCAACAGGATTCAATATCAGAATATGGAAATCACCATATTGCCACAGTAGTGTCACTACTGATCATCGGGCACTACCCCAAACCCTCTGCCTTCAGCTTCATTCAGACTCAGTGACCAGAATTAGAATTTTCATATTTTCCTTTCTTCTTCTTTCCTACTTATTTTCTCATCAAGATGATTATACTGTAATTCTAAGGAGCCCTTTTAATTTAAATATGTGAGATTAAATTTGTACATTGTTACCCAAAATGAAGATTTTCCTCAGTAACAGGAGTAAATTTCAAAATTGCAATTGTCCCACAATAGACTGGCCAGCCCAGGGAGGTGAGGAAGGTACCATGACTAGTAAAGGTCTTGCCTCTTCTATCTCGTGCCATCCCTGAAGCCTGCAAGCACAGGTTTGAAGGATACATTACAGTGAGAACCCAAAACAGCTCAACAATCTGCATGTTGTATTTTTATGGCTTTTGAACTTTGTATCCAGGATTTTATACTGCCATAATTAAATGAATATGCTAAGTTTATGTTCTACTTATTTAAAAAATGTCAATAAAGCTGTACTTTGATATGGTCAAGTGGCAAATGAAGGCTAAGTGAAGTGTGAAAGATTGATAAACTTCCTGGAATATTAGAAAATAGAGTTTAATACTGAACTAAAATTAACAATGTGAGTCTTGAAGAGTCCTTTTATCTAAGCCTCACACACAGCTCTGCAGCGAGGTCAGCAGAGTCACCGAGGATGTTTGCTATTAAACTCTTCTGTACCCATCACCATCAAGTCAGTTCTAACTCAGAGCAGTGATCCTTTGGGTTTCTGAGGCTGAAATCTGTATTACAGGAGGAAATGGCCCATCTTTCTCCTCAGGAGACTCAAACTGCTAACCTTTCAGTTATCAGTGTTACACACTATACACTATGCAATGAAAGCCACACACATTATTTTATACTTTGCTAAACTGTAAGAAGATATCGGGGCCTTAGACTTTGACATGCAGTTTCACAGATGTTGCATGCTGCCTTCAGGACTGTGAAAATGACTTGGGCACGGCCGTGTCCTTCTGTGAGACGTTTTGTTCTCAGCCATCATCCCCCTCCACACTATCCCTCACCTACTGCCATTACAGTGATGACAAAGTCTGCTTGCTCAACAGTGATGTGTCTTGAATAGTGACGTTAGTGTTTGGTAATTACCCCTAGTCTGCATGATAGCCTTCAGTTTAATGGCCTTTTTTATGTTCATTCATTTTATTTCATTTCCCATCGTGGTTTTATTTCTTTTTTATTTTTGTTTTTTCTGTTCTCTTCTTTAAAACCGTCGTGGTTTGCCCTTCATATTCCCCAATGTTTGCACATGACAAGATGTTGCCATCCCAACATTACCTCCCACTTCACTGACCAGTGCCACTACTGACCATCTAGCACCAGCCACAACGGGACCACTGCCTTCAGCTCCTCGGGATGTCGTGGCCTCTCTGGTCTCTACCCGCTTCATCAAATTGACGTGGCGGACACCTGCTTCAGATCCTCACGGAGACAACCTTACCTACTCTGTCTTCTACACCAAGGAGGGCGTTGCGAGGTAAGTGCCTTTGTGTCTAGAGCCACCGGCTGTGTGTTTTATCTACCCCAGCCTCGGTGTGCTTACTTTGACTCTTTGTTGTACAGGATATGTACAGATTTTAGGGCCAGAAAAAAATACCACAAGGATGCATTTTTTTCTTCTTTTTATGTTGCTAAAAAAATTTCTAAAACAGAATTTTGTGGCGTTCTTTCCAGTCCTTCTGAGACAGATTGAGGGGTGTATAGATCTGAGGAGGAAGCAAAAATAAGGATAAGAGCTGTTTTAAGTGAAAGTATTACAGTGTGGCAAAGACTATCGTTTCTTCAGTGCAGCTTACAGAATACTGACTTAGAACTTCCAAGAGACAAAAGTTGACCTAGTAAAGTAAATGTAAAGAGATACTTGCCCACACCCTTCTGTAAGTATGGACTACCAGGTTCCACAAAGTCTCCTTGATGACGCAAGATAATTAAAGTAATATGAGATCACCGTGAGTCAAAATCAGCTCATTGGCACCTTCAACAACAATCATAATCTTCCCAAAATATCATTTCCACGAAATTCTCCTTTGTCTCCAGTCCTCTCAAGAATTCATGTTACCTTTCCATTTCTTAGAGGGGAAAAAAAGTCCAAAATCTGCAGTATACTTTACACTCTGGTTTTTTTTTATCTATTTAACCTAGTTTTCTTCATTTCTCCAGTTTGATCTCAGCTTCTAATGACACCAGTGTAATTCTGTCACCAGTGCTATCCTACATGCTGTGTCTTTAGTCACTTCTCCCCTTTTCTAACATTTTTGCCCCAGTCAGTACTTCTTGGGCCAAGTTAAACACCGTAAATTTTCTTCATCTTTAAGGAATTTTACTTATATATACCAAAATACTGAAGCTTGATTCTGATGGCATCTTAGACAATCTTAAACTCTTTGAGAGAAAAACCATGCCATGTGTTATGTGTCCTTAAAGTTACTGAGTATATGCAGCTCACTGGGAAATAGATTCCTTCATTATGTTCTTTCTTTACAACACAGCAAGACAGCCAAGATACTTGCTTTAGTTAGGACCCTGGCACATGAAATAAAGCTTGTCTTATTGCTAGGGTGCTTGCATTTGAGAACGAAATGAGAGAGAATGACAGGTACACAGAGAGCTATCAGAAATTCTTTATCCCTTACAGATTCCTATGTCTTTTGTCTGTCATTCTTGTATGATGTCTTCTCAGGCCTACCTTGAATACCCCCTGAGACTAAGACACTGCTGTCGCTGTCAGACAATATCTACTGCAGCCAACTCATTCCAGAATCAAATTTTCAGGAAATTTTGAAAACCTAATGTGTCACATGTTGTTGTTGTTGTTGCTATGTGCCGTCAAGTCGTAGACAACTCTTAGTGACCCTGTGAATGAAAGACCTGAACATTTGTATACTTTAATTGTTTCTCCAGGTTCATAGGGTTTCCAGAGGCAAGGTATTTCAGAAGTGGATGCCACTCCTGCTTCCAAGCTTGTTTCAATTGGGGAACTCCACCAAACACTGTTCACTCTGGGTGACCATTAGCACATTTGACACATCAGAATCACAGTGTTTAGCATCACAGCAACCACGAGTTACCTCTGTACCACAGATGGACAGACCAGTGCTATATCACCTAGAAGAATGTTTGAACAAAAACAATTAAAACCAAGCCTGAGAGCCGCAGATTAAAATCACCCACCTGTGGCTTGGTAGCATCACTTTCTGTCCACTAGGCCAAGTGGATGCCAGTCCTGCTTCCAAGCTTGTTTTAATTGGGGAGCTCCACCAAACACATGGTAGCTTCAAAATTGCCAGTGATTGAAAGTATTTATAGCAACAAGTACATTAAATTTATTGTCTCAAGCATTTAGGGAGCTCTGATGACCTGTAGGTCAGGAGCTTTGCAGCAATTTCAAAGGTCTGCTGTTCAAATCAGCCAGCTGCTCCTTGGAGAAAGACTTCGTCCCATGAGATTAAAACTGCTTCTAGAAAACCACTGGAGGGTCAGCTGTAGGTCGGTTCCAACTCACTGGTACAAAACAGCATCATCAAATATTTAGCAAAGCTGATAACACCCATTTTCTTTTTAAGAAGATTTATCACATTGTGAATTTTTTCCCCCTTTTATTTATTTTTTTATGCTTGGTGTCTGGTAGCCTAGTGGCAGGAGTTGCAGCACTAACAAAAAGTCTTAGGGTACAAATCCACCCACTGCTCTGAGAGGGAAAGATGGGCAGTCTCCTCCTGTGCAGTTTACAGCTTCAAAAATCCACTGAAGGGTCAGCAGTGTGTCAGGTCCAACTCAGCAACAGTGAGTGAGTGGTGCGCTTTGTTCAATAGAGTGTCACTACGACCTGGAATAGAGCATGACATCGTAATAGTCAATAAACGTTTAAGTGAATAATTAATGTCCACTCATAGAATAATAGTGAATTATTTTTTAAAATTGTTAGGGATAATTGACTACCAAACTGACGGGAAAATGAAAAATTATAATCTTGTTTTATGTACAACAAGTTAGAGATGGAGTAGGAGATTAAAAACCTGTCCATGTAACTATAGATACTATTTTTGTCGTGTTTGTGACTAAGAAAGGTCTTTTAAAGGAACATAGAAAACCTAGGAAACATTGATGAGTTTATTATAAAACAACTTAAAATTTTATTTAATAATAAAAATACTGTAAAAAAGAATTTGCAAACAGAAAAAATATAACACTTTATGAAAGATAATATATTGATAACTAGTATCCAAAAGAGCTACTGAAAATTGGTGAGTAAAAGATATCTCAAAAGACAAATTATTGCTCAGGAAAGTCACAGACATTATGGAAAGTCTATTTGATTGAGGAAGAAATAATTTTCATCATCACTTGTAATCCTTGATATGCAAAATATGGTGACTTATCTATCATTTTTTTTAACCCACAAACACAGAGTTGGCAAAACATTTAATAGTATCCAGTGTAAGTGAGTGAAATGCCTGGGAAGAAATTTCTTTTAGGCTATTAGGGGCGATATAAATTAGACGTGCCTTTAAGAGATGTAATCAAGCAGTAACTTACTAATGTGAATTCCCTTCAGACTAATAATAACCCTCTGTTTATCTGTTTTACTGATAGGCAGATACGTGTACGCACAAGGAACTCCTACAGGAAAAGGTTTATGGTAGCATTTGTCTGCAAAATCAACAAAATAATATAAATTAATGTTCATTGATAGAGGGATGTACAAATAATATTTGCATATCCATATGGAGTATAATAGACCCATTTTTAGGAAATTTCTTAAATCTGCACATTTTGTTGTATACATAAATCTCCCTCACTCTTCCTGATGATTCAGAACTGACTCATAGCTGATCTTCTGATGAGTTTCAAAGGCTGTAAATCCCATAAGAGGATTTTGTTCATCCTGTGGAGCTGCTGGTATATTCGAACCACCTTCCTTTGGGTTGGCAGCACAGCTCCCTGTGCTCTAGGCCACCAGAGCTCCTAGTGTAAATGTACAGACCATTGATTCTCTACATGGGCAATTTCACCCCCAAGGAACATTTAGCAGTGTCTGGAGACATTTTTGTTCTTATAACTAGGCTAGAGGGTGGGATACCACTAATATCTGGTGAAAAAAGACCAAGGATGCTGTTGAACACTCTACAGGGTGTAAAACAGCCCCCACAACAAAGAATGTCCAGTCCAGAATAACAGGTTCCAAGAAACTGTGGCATAGTGAGATCTGGTAGGAGACATATCAGTACATACCAGCATTAGGTTTTGAATGGAACTAGTTTTCAGGAAGAATTAGGGGCTTTTAAAAAGATATCCACATTTATTTGTGTATTTAAGCACTTTAAAAGATAATGTATCATTTTAAAATTATAATTAATGGATAATGGGTTGGAGTAAACAAAATTAGATTAATAAATAAGGTTGAGGTAGATGATAATAATAATAATAATAATGATGATGATGATGATGATGATGATGTTGTTGTTGAGTGCCATTGAGTCGTAGGTGACTCATAGTGGCCCTATGAACGAAAGTCCTCAATACTTGTGTGACTTTCATCCTTTCTCCAGGTTCATAGTGTTTCCAGAGGCAGGCTATTTCAGAAGTGGATGCCACTACTGCTTCCAAGCTTTATTTAATCAAAGAGCTCCGCCAAACACTGTCCACCATGGGTAACCATTATTGCATTTGACAGGTAGTATAATCCTGGTCTGTCCACTTACTGTACAGAGGTAACTTGTGGCTGCTGAAGAAAGATATAGGTAAGATAGATGATAGATAGATAGATAGATAGATAGATAGATAGATAGATAGATAGATAGATAGATAAAAGTTAAATTATTTAGAGCAAGAATACAAGTATAAATAAAGGAAGAGGCAATATAAGGTAGAGTTTTAATTGAATTCATGTATGTGGGAAGTGGTGTGTTGATGAAGCAAGCCTTACTTGGCACAAAGTAGTGAGAGATTAGAATAAAGTACATGTTCAGAGCCAGATGTTGGAATGCCAGGAAGAATTTGGACTTAATCAGTTAAGCAAGAAGGGACTGTTTTAAATTCCTGAGCAAGTGTGCTCTATGATGTTTTAAAAAACAGCTTATATTAGCAGTGTTTTGTGGGCATTAAACGAGATTAGAAGGAAAAGGCCTGGGATCCTAGACAGGTTAGGTTAATAGTTGTTGTGTTACTCAGGCATGCAGCGTTGACCTGGATTAAAATTAAACCAGTGATTGGGAGTGGACGATAAAGCTTGAAGATGTTTCTTGGAGAGAGATTGTGTAACTCATTTTTGTGAGTTAATTAATTGAGCAGCAGGCTCAAGTTGGGATGGTAAGGATGGCACAGGCTAGGACAAGGTTCACATCTGTTGTTCATAGGGTCACTGGGCCGTGCATGTCTTGAAGGTACCTAGCAACAACAGTTACCTTAAATTTATGATTTCTAAAGAGAGGCATGGAAGGAGTAGTGCAAAAAACATGTAAGTTAAAAGGCCATTTC